CTTAGGGAGCCACCTCACATCCTCCTTCGGGTAGCCAGGGGTCAGGCCGCTCAGCAGGAGCTCGTCTAAGAAGCCCGAGAGCACCCCTCAAGAGGAGACCTGTAAGTGGCCTAAGTCAAACGGCCCAGGGTGGGTTTCTCAGCCGAGACCGCTCACAGCCCCGCTCTCCCACAGGCCTGTGGTCCCCATCTGTCCAGCTTCCTCACTCCTGTCTGCAGTTCGACCCCAGTCATCATGCCTGAGATGCTTGAGACCCGCGTTCCTGAGAGAGTCTTTCAGGATCCAGGATTGGACGAGGGTCTGCTGGAGGCACTGTTCTTTTGGGGTGAAGAGGAGGAGGAGGAGGAGGAGATGGAGGAGGAGGAGCATGTGGAGGAGGTGGAGCAGGTGGAGGAGGTGGAGCAGGTGGAGGAGGTGGAGCAGGTGGAGCAGGTGGAGGAGGTGGACCAGATGGAGGAAGAGGAGCATGTGGAGGAATCGGAGCATGTGGAGGAGGTGGAGCAGGTGGAGGAGGTGGAGCAGGTGGAGGAAGGAGATGCAGCTTCCTCCTCCTCTCTCCCGGTCTGGGGCACCCTGGAGGAGGTGGCTGCTGGTGCAACAGCCAGTCTCCCCCAGAGCCCTGTGGGTGTCTGCCCCTCTCCCACTGCCATGGCTGCCACTCCGGGGAGCCAATCTGAAGACTATGGCTTCAGCAGGCAAGATGAAGTGCCAAGCACCTCGCATGACCAGGAAAATGCCAGGTCCTCACTCCAACAGGCACTACAGGTGAAGAAGAGGGAGCTGGTACAACTCCTGATCAGTAGGTATCTCGCCAAGGAGCCGATCACAAAGGCAGAAATATTGAATAGTGTCCTCAAAGATTACCAGGACCACTTCGTGTTGGTCCTCGATCAAGCCATAGAGTACCTGCAGCTGATCTTAGGTTTGGATGTGAAGGAGGTGGACCCCAGTGAGTCCACCTATATCCTGGTCCCCATCCTGGGCCTCACCCTCAATGAGACGCTGAGGGATGAGCAGAGGTTGCCCAAGGCCGGCCTCCTGGTGATGGTCCTGTGCCTGATTGCTGTGGAGGTCGAATGCGCCCCTGAGGAGGCGATCTGGGGTGCACTCAGTGGAATAGGGGTGTTTCCCGGCAGTGAGCACTTCATCTATGGGGAGCCCAGGGAGCTGCTGACCCAAGTGTGGGTGCAGGAGGGTTACCTAGAGTACCGGCAGGTGCCTAACAGCGACCCTGCTCGCTCCGAGTTCCTGTGGGGTCCCCGGGCCTATGCGGAGACCAGCAAGTTGGAAGTCCTGGAGTATCTGGACAGAATCAATTGAAGGGGTCCCAGCTCCTTCCACCCCCTCTGCAGAGGCTGCGAGGGAGGAGAAAGGGGAACTCTTGAGCCAGAGAAGTAGCCAGGCTCCTTCCAGGCCCACATTGAACAGCTTGTCCTGGGGGCAGGAACGGAGGCTGATCTTTCCTTCTGTGACTGAAAAGGTAGCAGTCAGCCTTCTTAGCAGTGAGGGCCTGGGCCCATTGTGGGAACCTGGTATGTTGCATCTTTGTGTTCCTTTTCTCTGGCATGCAGACTCATCTCTATTTTCTTTAGGAATTTTTCAGGTATTACTCCTTTTTAATAGAAGGCTTAAGGAGTTCCAGTGTTTAACTATGTCAGTGACGTTGATCACACCGTGTTTGTACTTACCCATTTCAAGAACAAGAGTTTTGCTATTTTGTGAAAGGAAATTAGGAACTCTTCCATTTTATTTCATGGTTTTGAACAAGATAATATGGAGTTAGAATGATTTGGGAAATGTGAACTATGGAAGAATTTGAAAATAAAAAGTGATTGTAGTGAAGCCTTGCTTCTTATACTTTTTGTCTATCATTTTGTACAGCTGAGCTATCTCTGTTTCTTTGGATTTTCCCAGGTTATTTAAGAAAGTATGAGAAAACTGATCTGAGTTCATGTTGATCTCACATGTATTTGTACTTATCCAATTCAAGACTGAGTTTTCCTATTTGTAAAATCAGTTGGGAAGCCTTCAGTCACGGTTTGTGATCCCAAATTAGATAACATAGCATTGGAAAAGGATTTACTTGGAAATGTGAAAGTAATTAGCAGTACAATTAATGGGGTCAAGAAATAGAGAAATAAAAGTAAATGGTTGTTAATTATTGAATTCCTATCCTTTTCTTCTGTCATTCTGTAAAATTAAAATATATATGAATAACCTGGATTTGTTTGGCTTATTTAAGAAGTAGCAGAAAATCTGAATGAATGAGCCCCTGCTCACTGGCTCATTTATGCCCACGACCTTCATGGAGGCTGTGCTCTGTGGAAGGCCCTGTGTTAGCAGTGGGGACACTGGGAGAAGCAGGACACCCCCACACCTAGAGCGATGGTCTAAGAACCGCAGTCACAGAAGGTAGATGGAGAGATGTCCCTTAACTCCACAGAACAGGGCAACATGGGTCGAGGTGGTGGGGCTCCAGAAGGAGCACTGGAGTGTCGGTGCCAGAGCCAGGGTGGTTTGGGGCTTTGGGAAGCTGGAGTTCCTGTGAGAGGTGACTATGAGAGGTGATTGTGATGAAGCTGAGTGGTGGCAGCCCTCAGGCCTGCAAACTGTGTGTCTTGGGGGTGAAGGGAAAGTCCGAAATGGATCATTGCTATGAGGTGTCCTTTTGGAGGGCTTCCTTGTGACTCAGCTGGTAAAGAATCCACCTGCAATGTGGGAGACCTAGGTTCGATCCCTGGGTTGGGAAGATCCCCTGGAGAAGGGAAAGGCTACCCACTCCAGTATTTTGGCCTGGAGAATTCTGTGGACTACAGTCCTTTTCGATCCTGGGTAAACCCCAGAGAGATCTCGTTCTGGGGCAGGAAGGAAGAGGTCCTGGCTCTTGTCGCATTGCTGTTGACCACAGGGACAAAGTAGGTGTTTTCTACCCTCCATCTGCTAGGATTTCTTCTCGGTATGTGGTCTCACTCCTTGAGAGTGATGCCAAGAAGTCCGTGGACAAGCATTGTTTTCCCTGGTCTGGGAGAGCCAGAGTCCATGGCATTATTATTAGGTAATCTTGAGAGTATCAGGGGCAACTCTTGAGTAGTGTATAGATTTTTGGTGGAGGTGGAATTGGTGAAAATCATAGTTTGGATGGAAGAGAAGCTGGGAGGGAGAGAAGGAGTTGGTTCTTGACAAATTGTAGAAGCTTTGAGTTGCGTCCAGCTGGAGAAGGCTCCTCCATGCCTGAATTAAATAGTAGATCCTCGGGGAAGGAGATCATGCTGAGTTTTATTAATAAAACAAAGTTTCTGGCTAAATTAGCATTCTCTGTCGTATTGTGTTGCATGCAGTCTGAGATATCTTAGGTAACAGCAACAACAAAATTTCCCAGAGCCCAGAGTTGTGAAATTGAGATCCAAATACTAGTACAAACCACTGCTAATCATAAAGATCAAACCAGGTTCTGCATGAGGTGCTTTATTTATATCCTTGCAGTCTACAGACAGGGCTCCTCATACCTGCTTGCTTCACAGATGAAAAACTGGGGCCCCGGGGCTTGGGCATCTTCCCAGGATCACATGCTATTAAGGACCAGGATGGGGTCAGGCTGCCATAACAGATTATCATAGACTGTGTGTAGCTGACGCAACAGATGTTTATTTCTCACAGTTCTGGAGCCTGGGAAGCGAGAGATCAAGATGGCTTGATGGTTGCTACCTGGTGTGAACTCTCTACCTGGCTTTACGTGGCCACCTTCTCACTCTGCCCTCACATGGCAGTAGGGAGAGAGAGAGAGAGAGAGAGAGAAGAAGTAAGTTCTGTGGTGTCACTTTGTATAGGGGCACTGACCTCATATTGAGGGTCCTACCCTCATAACCTCATCTAAACCTCATTCCGTCCCAAGGGCTACATCTCCAAATACATCACATTGGGGGTCAAGCTTCAACATATGAATTTTAGGGAGACACTATTGAGTCCACAGCATCTCCCTTGTAGATGAGGAAAGACCATGAAACAAACATCTACTAAGGCTGAATTCCTAAAACTCTAGAGTATTCCTAATAGGTGAAAAATGCTTCCTTAAGGGACATGCCAGCTTCAATTTAAAAGAGTAAGTAACCATCCTTCTTCTGTCTCTTGTCTGGTACATGCCTCACAGGAAATCCCTGGTTTTCAGTTTGCCTAATGGCACCTGTGCAGGTGTTCAGGCAAGTTCAGCCACGTGGAGGGTAGCAGAGACTTGGGCTGAGATTGTTCTTGCATCAGAAAAAAGGAGAACATTCTTGCTTAATGAGATTATAGACAGAAATTGCCATAAGTCAAGGCACAGGCCTGACCCTGCCTCCTCCCGTCCATAGCAGCCTTTCTAGGCACCAGTGAGAGTTTAGTATACAGTAGGTACTGGTACAGCTGTCTTTAGACTCCTCTCTGGTGCAGAAAAACATATCGTGACTCTAACCTCTACTTTGTGGGGCCCTAGCGCTTAGGCTGAGTGGGCAGGCACCTGACAGGCCATCCCATGATCTTTTCAGAGGATGAAGCACCTCAAGGAAAATCCCAAGGTTGAAAGATAAAAGATCAACGCATAAGATTAACTGTATTTACATACAACTACAATTTTAAAAATCAGAAACCAAAAATTTTAAACACCATTTTCTGATGAGTTATGATGAGTATTATTTACTCTGATTTGTTTATTAATTAATTTATTTCAATTGGAGGCTAATTACTTTACAATATTGTAATGGCTTTTGCCATACATTGACATGAATCAGCCATGGGTGTACATGTGTTCGAATGTTGGGGCATTTCACATTGCCCCAGAGGTCCCTAAGTTTCTCCTCATTTCTTTTGATTTTTTTTCCTTTTTTCCTCTCTGCTTCATTTATTTCCACCATTTTATCTTCTACCTCACTTATCCTATCTTCTGCCTCCGTTATTCCACTGTTGATTCCCTCCAGCGTGTTTTTTATCTCATTTATTGCATTATTCATGATTAATTGACTCTTTTTGATTTCTTCTAGGTGCTTGTTAAACATTTCTTGCATCTTCTCAATCTTTGTCTCCAGGCTATTTATCGGTAACTCCAGTTTGTTTTGAAGATTTTGGATCATTTTTATTATCATTATTCTAAATTCTTTTTCAGGTAGATTCCCTATCTCCTCCTCTTTGGTTTGGTTTGGTAGGCATTTTTCATTTTCCTTTACCTGCTGAGCATTTCTTTGCGTTTTCATCTTATTTAGATTGCTGTGTTTCAGGTGCTCTTTCTGTATTCTGGTAGTTTGTGGTTGCTCTTTATTGTGGAGGTTCCTACCAGTGGCTGCGGTTGGACGATTAGCTTGTCAAGGTTTCCTGGTTAGGGAAGCTTGCGCCGGTGTTCTGGTGGGTGGAGCTGGATTCTTTGTGTCTGGAGTGCGATGGAGTGTCCAATAGTGAGTTTTGAGATGGGTCTATGGGTTTGTTGTGACTTTGGGCCGCCTGTATATTGAAGCTCATGGCTATGGTCTAGCGTTGCTGAAGAATTTGTGTGGTATGTCTTGCTCTGGGACTTATTGGCTCTTGGGTGGTGGTTGGTTTCAGTGTAGGTATGGAGGCTTTTGAATGATCTCTTATCAATTAGTGTTCCCTGGAGTCAGGAGTTCTCTGGTGCTCTCAGGTTTTGGGCTTAATCCTCTTGCCTCTGGTTTTTAGTCTTATTCTTCCAGTAGCCTCAAGATTTCTCCATCCATACAGCACTGATAATAAAACTTCTAGGTTAATGCTGAAAAGATTCTCCACAATGAGGGACACCCAGAGAGTTTCACAGAGTTACATGAAGAAGAGGAGAGGGAGGAAGGAGATAGAGGTGAGCAGGAGGCCAAAAAGGTGGAATCAAGAGGAGAGAGGCAGATCTAGGCAATATTCTGTTCCCTAAGTGTTCTCCGCAGCCCAGAACACCCACAGAGATTCACAGAATAGGGTTGAGAAGAGAAGGGGGAGGGAGGAAATAGAGGTGACCTGGGGGAGAAAAAGGAGAGTCCAAAGGGGGGAGAGTAATCAAGCCAGTAATCACACTCCTGAGGAAAATGGGTACTGAAGACTGGATTCTTTTTTTTTTTTTCTTTTGAAGACTGGATTCTTAAATGTACAAAATTGACATCAAATACTAAAAAACAAAGATTAAAAACCTGCAGTAGAGGTTAGATTCTTAAAAATACAATATTGAAAAAAAGAAAAAGCACAAAAAGTGTAAGAAATAAATAAGAAGTTTGCTTTAAAAATAGGGTCTTTTTTGCAAGGTAATAATGGGTTATAAAAAGTAAAATTAAAGAGTAATAGAAGACTTTAAAAAATAAGAAAAAAATTTAATTAAAAATAATAATAGTAAAAATATATCTAGGAATTTCTCTGGAGCTGTTACAGGCAGTGTGGATTTAGTTCAGTTTCAGATAGTTCCTTGTTCCAGCTTATACTTTTCAATATCTATAGTCCCCTTCCTGTGTAGTCCGTGTTAACTACAGGGATTTTAATCTGTTGCACCTGTCACTGCTAAAGCGGTTCCCTTTGTTTATTTGGCTTCTGTTTGCAGGTCTCTTCAGTGTCTAATTTCCACCCTCACACAAGGGGTGCGGTGGTGGTCACTTTTTTTTAGGCTCACTTGCTCAATCGTGCTGTGGGGAGGTAGGGGCACTGCAGACAAATATCACTGGTGTGTGTGGGGAGTACACAGTACGTAGTGTTTCAGCCACACTGGGTTTGCCCCTGCTCACGGCGTGTGTGCTTTCACCGTCTACACTGCTCAGCCTTCAGGTTGCTCTACAGGGAGCGAGCCCTGAGTTGCATGCACTTCCCAGGTCTAAGCCACTGAGGTTCAG